GCGGCGGCCCCGGCGCGGTGCGGGAAGTGCGGCGAGGCCTTCCAGGGCGTGGAGAAGCTGGTGTTCCACATGCGGGCCCAGCACTTTGTTTTCATGTGCCCGCGGTGCGGGAAGCAGTTCAACCACAGCAGCAACCTCAACCGGCACATGAACGTCCACCGCGGCGTCAAGTCGCATGGCTGTGGCGTCTGTGGCAAGAGCTTCACCCAGAAGTCGACGCTGCATGACCACATGAACCTGCACAGTGGCGAGCGGCCGTACCGCTGCTCCTACTGCGACGTCCGCTTCGCCCACAAACCTGCCATCCGCCGGCACCTCAAGGAGCAGCACGGCAAGACCACCGCCGAGAACGTGCTGGAGGCCAGCGTGGCAGAGATCAATGTCCTCGTCCGCTGACGGGGCCGGGGGGGGCGGGTGGGGGGGACCCCCGGGGTCAGCTGCACCGGAGGGGGGGCGGGGGTCTGCCCGGATGCCTGGGTCCCTCGGCGGATAATGGGGTGCACCCCGCCGGGACGCTGGCATTCATCTGTGGATGAGGGGGGGTCGCCCCGCCAGGACGCCGGGGTTCCTCTGCGGATAAGGGGGGTGCGTGGTGCCCGGACGCTGGGGTCCCCCCCAAGGACGATGGTTTTGTGGGACCCAGATGCCTGGGTCGTCCCGTCCCCCCTGCTGCGGATAAGGGGGTGCACCCCACCTGGACGCCTGGGTCCCCCCCATGGATAAGGGTGGGGTGTCCTCCAGCCGGACGCCTGGGTTCCCTCGTAGATAAGGGGGGGGCTCTGCCCAGACGTGTGGGTCCCCCCATGGACACCCCACTCGGACACCCAGCTCACCCCACGGATAAAGGGGGGTCGCACTGACCGGACGCCATTGTTCCCCCCCCGCCCCCAGACGCTGGGTTTGCTGGTCTTGCGCGCCAGGGTCCCTCGGTGGATGTTGGGTCCAGCCCCCCCCTCAAAGCCGGGCTTTGTTTCCCCCCCTCCCCACCCCGGACACCTGGGTCCCCTCTTGGGGGGGGGGTGGGTCACGGGGGTGTCCCCCCCGATGCCGGGGTTCTCCCTGTAGCTTGTAGGAAAGGTCATGTGGGGTCACCCTGAG